TATGAGTGCTTGAAAATTTTAATGATTCTTACTCTGCAGTTCAGAAGAGATATATCCGATGCATCAAGAAAGAGCTGACTTGAGAACTTCTATGGGTCCCATTATTCTAGTTATAATTGTTATGTTAGGGTTGATAAATTTTACATAGCTATGTTCTGTTATTAATTACTCAGATCAGAGAACTTACTGTTTAACATGGATTGGTTTGCTTCCTCAATTTTATAGTAGGCCACAACTAAAGCATATTAAGTGTAACAGTGTTTTTGTTATACTAACATAATTTAAAATTACTTTGTATGTTTTGATAAAGGCAGTTTTGTGAATAATACCTTCATTCTGCATAGTGATTGAATGTGACAGCAGTATGAACAAGCCTAAGTCATTTATTTTAGCTTTAGAATCTCTTTATGGACATTCTTTTGAATATAGAGACGGTGATAAATACACTTAAAACAAAATATTGAAGCCCATTGGGAAGTACTAACAGAGACGACCCAGTGAGCAGAGACGGCACATACACATCACTGTACCAGCCAGGAAAAACTTGCAAATTACTTCTCACCTGTTTGATTTCAGGCTTCTCTGCTGCATGTGAAATAAGAATAAACACAGAATAGGATGTCAACAAGGGAAACAGTTAAACGGATGCTGTAGGTGTTTTCTTGAAACACGAAAGCCAGATTTGAAATGCCTGTGGGTAATCTGCCTGTACCTGACATTTGAAAGTAAATGCTTCATTTTTGAAGGAGCATCTTGGCTTGAAAACAGCAACATCCATTTAACTGTTTCCCCCATCTTAGTCTTAATAGCAGTCTTCAGTCTTTTACAAGCAGTGTCTTTCCTGCTTATGTGCATTGTTGACTTAGCTATTCCAGCTATTCCAGGGCTTTTACTGGACAGAGACGAGATGAGTAAAATAGTCTGACAGGAGACTGCCAGTCTAAATACAAAGAAATGTGCTATTTAGAAACATGTTTGTCTTTTCGTGATGCCAGAAATTCTGAAAGTTTTAGGGAATAAGTGGTGGTCACAGAGTATTAAATGAGGAAGATGTTTGTTTATTTTTATTTTTTTATTTTATTTTGTTCCTCAAATTGTTTCAGTTTGACTGCAGGGAGCTTTTTTTAATGTATATTTTTTATTTAAATTTTGTGCATTTCATACAAAATGTCTTAATCATTTTTATACCTTTTCCTCATCCATGCCCTCCAATAGCCCTCCCCACCACCAGATTTCATGCACTCTGTCATATGTGTTAAGACCTATCAATATCAAGTCATGTTAGTGTACCCAGACACCCCTCAGTACAAATTCCTCAACTAGGGTCTAGTCAACCTATCTAGAGTTTCTCCCTTAAAGAAGATCAATTCTTCCTAATCTGGCAATAATCAGCTGTGAGTAGTTCTTTGGCTAAAGTTGGGGCCTGCTGTCATTTCCCCAGTTCTATCCTGGGTTTTCATCGGATTGAGTTTTCATGGGTTTTTCACATCAGCTAAGGTCATTGTCCTAAACCTGAAGTTAGCTTGGATTCTGTGTTCTACTGTGTACAGCCTACAAATAGAATAGACCCCCCTCTCCCTCTCCTCCTCCCTCTCCTCCCTCTCCCTCTCCTCCTCCCTGTCCCTCTCCCTCTTCCCTCCCCAATAAAATTGTCCCCACTTTCCCAATTTCACCCTTGATAATACCTGTTTCCTATGATCCCGTTTCTTGAGCTTCTTCCTCTTTACCCCCATGGTTCTTCTTCCTCTCACAGTTAAATACCCCCATTTTACCCATTCCTTCCTTGGTAATACCCACCTCCTACTGTTTCTCTCTCAGTCTCCTTCTTTTCCCTTTACCTCTATGATTTCTTTCCATTTTTCTGGCCCCTGTAACAGTTATATCAGGCTATATACTGACATATAGGGATCTGGGGCTAATATCTGAGTCAGGCTCTCTCAGGCAGTCTCAAAAGGTCTGCATGAAGATGGGTTTTTAAAAATGGATATAGTTGAATGCAGACTAATTTTTAAACATAGGAACAAGAAAATTATACATATAATGAGGTGTATTATGCAGTGTTTTGATACATACCCGTTATTTGATATTTAAGTCAGGACAAACATTAAATACCTGTTTTCCTCAAATCTTCGTCATTTCCTTTTGTTACAAAAACTCAAAATCATTTCTTCTGGTTTTAGAGGTATGCATCACGTAATTGTTAGCTGTGATCCTTGTGCAGTACACTAGAAGCTTTTGTTCCTCTCTGAGTTAGTATCCATTGAACAAATTTGTCTGTGCCTCCGTCTATCATTCTCTCCTCAGCCACTGATCACCACCACCACCACCACCACCACCACCACCACCACCACCACCACCACCAAAAAAAAAACTTATTCTCAAATTCAAAGAGTTTAGCTTTCTTAGATTCTACCTAGGAGCGAGATCACGTTGTATTTGTCTTTCTGTTGTCTGGTTTATTCCACTTAGCACTATGATTTCTAGGTCTATCCATGTCATTGCAAATGACAAGATTCTGATTTTTATTGTCTGATAATGTTCCATTGTATATGTGTACCGCATTTTCCTCGTTGAGCCACCAACTGCTGTATACTTAGTTGTTTTTGTGTCTTGGTAGTAAGTTTAGGGGTGTAGGTGTCTCTTTGACTTGCTGATTTCATTTCCTTCAGATATGTATCTAAGAGTGAACTTGCTTGGTCATATAGTTGTTTACTAAACCATGATGGATTCACCATGCTGTTTCCCATAACAGCCTTGATTTACATACCTGCCAACAGTGTGCAAGAGTTTCCTTTTCTTCCATCCTCACCAGATCTTGTTATCTTCTTTGTTGACAGTCATTCTTATTGGAGTGGCACTATTGCTGACTATGGTTTTGTGTTATATTTTTCTGCCTGTTACCAATGCTGAGCATTTTTCATATATTTGTTAACTATTTCTCTGTTTTCTTTTAAGGAATGCAATTTAGGTTGGTTGTGTATTTGTTAATCAGTTTTGTTGTTGCTGTTGCTGCTGTTATTGAGATTTGAGCTTTTGTAGTTCTTTATCTATTCTGGATATTATCCTGGTAGGTATATAGATAGCTTGCCAATATTTTCTTCCAATCCGCAGGTTGTTTCCTTTGCTGTGCAGCCCTGTTTATTGAGGAAGCATGTTTCTTTTGGGCTTTCTTTTATGTTTCAGCCACGTCTGTATTTGCTTTTGTATTAATACTATGCTTTGATGAGTCCGGCTTATGCCTGTTTTCATTGGAAAAGTTATAGTTTTTCTTAATTGAGAAAGTGGCAATATTTTCTGGAATGTGACTTAAACTTGTTTTTCTCTTTATGGTGCCTATTTTTGAATATTTGGTGAAGTTTATTTTAGTATTTACTGTTCAACACCACATATAAAGAACCATGCATGAAACATTCATACAAAGAAATATATATTATATATAAATC